AGACATTAATCGACAGTCTTAGGTGAAATTTCTAAAAATCCAATATACTACTTATCGGGAGTTTTAATAACACCTAAAAAGGTGAAGTATTTTACTCGTATATCTGAAAATATAGGTTGCTTTTTTTAAAACGAACCCTGGATACCTCAGAAAATAAACAAAAATTAGAAAACCGCGGGACAGGTCAATTTTTTAATTTTTTGACATTTGTCAATAAACACAAACAACGTTTCAGAGCTATCTTTGCATTTTTATAGTAATTTGTTCTGCTATATCTTGTTCTGCATAACGTAAATAAAAAATACTCAAAACTCAAACAAAAAACTTAATTCCTGATCAAAATACCTTTTATTTGAGTTATCACAATGGGGGGGGGGATCCTTTTAAAAATTTTGAAAGGGGTTGTGCGTACTACAAAAAGGGTTGTGCTACAGCTTTCAAAAGGTGTCCCTCAGTAAATAAAAATTGACCTGTCACTGGATTTTCTAATTTTTGTTTATTCTATGAAACATCCAGGGTGACTCGTTTTGAAAAAAAATAACAAGTGCGTGTAAGGGGGACCTTCTACTTTAATTTACCGGCCCGTGATAATTGTTACATTAGTCAACTGAAGCAATGAAGTCATTTTAAACATTTAATGGCTACACAATTATTTCAATTTTTAGTTGTAAGTACAAATATATTTAAGGAATTTTTTATTTGAATAAATAACTAACGCATTTTGCTTTCCCGATTCTATTTTATCGGCATAAATCCGTTTAAAATATTCCACCGCATAAAATTTGGCAGCAACTTATAAGAAACCGTATTTTCATGTTTCTAAATTCGCAACGTTACCGTCGGTTTAAGAAAAAACCCATGCCCTAAAGGATTTGCATCCTAAGATTACACAATTTTCAAATTAATTGGGTCGAGGGATTCGAACCTCAGCAACAAGTTGGCAAACCATTTAACTTATTACATAGTTTATGGCAAACTGAATGCTATATTCATAATTGTTTGCACCTGTTACATGAAATTTCTACGCAATTAATAACGGAAAGTTTTAGTTATAGTGCACAAATCAATACCGACTACCTAATAGTATCTGCTTTGGATTGATGCATTCCCTATAAATATTTCTTCGAGTGACTGGGGTTCTATTTTCGACTGTTTTAACGAGCAGTATGGTTGCCTGAATGCTGTTTATTTGCATATTGAGGTTTCTTTAGATTGACTTCAGACGAATCTGTACCGGCCGACCTTATTCCAATTATTGTTCGTTTTGAGGACATGGTCGACGCGACCTACAGATTTTGCGATTGTAAATTAAACTTATTAGGTGGTGCCTACACAGAAAGGAATAGACATTTTTAGGGTTTAGGTTTGAAGAGTATTGCAGCTTATGCAATGAAATAAATTAATTTTTTGATAATTCAACACAAATAGTGAGTAATTAAAAAAAAACAAGTTTTGATATTATCCAAAAAATAAAATTGTACGTTCTAAACATAGGTTGCGTAACTGGTAAACATTCATGTAGTTTCTATTGTTTAGAGAGACTGCGGAACCCATTGTAAATTCTACCGATTCTTCTTGCCATCCCCATCCAATGAGTTTCTAATTTTAAAATGCCAGGATTGATTAATACTACATGTTATCAGTAATTTTCTTTGCTTATTGTTTTAGATACAGACTGTATTATGAAAAACGCCCCAAGCCATAACTCCATTATTTTCGAAGTTATGACAATACTTCTTAGAACAAAGTTGAACATTTTTTGTCGTCTATCGTTTAGGATAGATGCTAAATTCTATCGATTCTTCTTGCCATCCCCATCCAATGAGTTTCTAATTTTAAAATGCCAGGATTGATTAATACTACATGTTATCAGTAATTTTCTTTGCTTATTGTCTTAGATACAGACTGTATTATGAAAAATGCCCCAAGCCATAACTCCATTATTTTCGAAGTTATGACAATACTTCTTAGAACAAAGTTGAACATTTTTTGTCATCTATCGTTTAGGATAGATGCTAAATTAATGCTGTTTTCTGTTTCACCGGAAATGACATCAACTTTATTTTTTTAAATGGAACACCCTGTATATTTTACCACTTTTGGATACTTTGTTTAATTGTCTTTTAACAAGTTTTAGTACCATGTGCCTAAAACCAACCGTTCGTGAGATATGAGTCAATTGCCATTTATTTTGCTCAAGCTAAATGAAAATGTAATTTTTTCAATAAAAAAATTAACAAACCATTTCTTGAAGAAAATTATGCATTAATGATGACATTGACGAAAAAACAAATTATTATTAATTTAGCCTGCTTGCGGCTAGAAGGGTCGTCATCCACAGCAGGGGCTGGTTTATTGAAGCGTCATTTTTACTTTGTTCGACTGTACGTCAAAAGTGTAGGTCATTTGTCTTACTATTTGTTTTTGTCATTTGGAAGTGAATTTTGAAAAAAAATGCGAATATACAGGGTGTTGATATTTAAATGAGATGATATTCATGGTAGAAAAAAACTAATACGCTATACATGGTGATTCTTAAATAGACCGACAAAATCTTATCCCTGGTAGTATCAAATGAGTATACATGCTGGAAACAATATTTAAAAAATTCTTTGTTTAACCGTTCTCCAAATAAATTATATTAAAGTTATTTTTGAGATAACGCGTACGCCACTGATGCGTTCGTAAATAGTACAGGTAATGGAAACTATGGTATTAATTTGATGATAATGTACTTGATCATTGCAACAATTCATAACCGCTCTAAGCGGCACGTATCAAGGGGGTTTTGCCCCCCTAAAAGATATAAACGTAAAAAGGGTACAGTTTGTCTTCATTTATCCTTGGGAAGCTGTAATAAAATTTTGTCGGTCTATTTAAGAATCATGCTGTATAAAACAAAAATTCACGTTGTGAAAGGAAGTAATTCATTTTATACAGATGGTCCAAAAGTCTGGACACGATTTTATTCTGGCGGAACTACCAATTTTTTTGGCAAACAAATTTATAGGTGTGCAATGGCTGTAAAAATGCTATTCAAAAAAATTGAATATAAATTATTTGTTTATACTTACGAAATAAACATAGTAACATTTTTTTAATGGAATGAATGTTTAAAGGTTGTAAAGGAGTGATGCCCAAATATTTTTTATTTTAATTAATTGTTTAAACTTTTGAGATTACCATACCATTAATGTTTTTCTTAAATAAAAATGTTTTTTTATTTATTGTTTTACAAAGATATGTTTATGCATTTTATAAATGTACAAAAATATTTGTTGAAAATGTTGCAATTGATGTTAAAAAAATTATAAACTTTACCTGTTGTCAAAACTCACTTCCACCGGCTAAGGGGTGATACTTTAAAACCGAACAGTGGTGAGTCTTTTTTGTGTGCTCACCACTGCTCGGTCAGGTCAGGTCAGGTCAGGATCTGTATTTACCTTTAAGGAAACACTACAAACATCAAGAAACTCTTCAAGTCTAAATTTGCGGCGGGGGTCATGTCGGTGTTCTTAATTCACACTACCCCCACCAGCAATTCATTAAAATATAAACTTTACATATACTGGCTGAGTCACTTATAATAAAAACCCTGACCGATTTTTAGACGCAACCCAAAATACATTCTCACAGACAACTTTGCTTTTTGTGTTTGAATAATTTAGTTTATTAAATTCAAATCAAAGTAATTGTTGATATGTCATTAATTAAATTTGACAGTGTCAAAAATTCTACATTCTTTTTCCCTTGAATTCAAAATGTATTCAAACAACGAAGAAACTGACATGATCTTGACAAATGGGGAATGCTACAAAATCCTGTCGCTGAATCTGTACCGTCAAAAGTACACCGTAGGATTCCAAGTTCTAAAAATTGTCAAAGCTGGTATCTATGTTTATATCTTTGAAAATTTTCAAACAGAACATTAATTAACGCATAGTGGTATCTGTGAATGTATTTTGGGTTGCGTCTAAAAATCGGTTAGGGTCTTTATTACATATGACTCACCCTGTAATGTTCCGGCTTTGTTGAACTTAATTGTATTACTCCTGCTGATGATTAATAGTTTATTTTCTGTCGAGCACAGTAAATTCAACTTTAAGACCACCCGAAGTTGCCTGGGTTTCACATATGGATTTATCACATCAGACTTGGAAATATTTACCTGTCAACCATATGGGATTTTCTTCAGGTGTTGCTCACACTGCAGGAATTCGATATTTCCCAGAGGCGTATTTTTTATGTGGGAAACAATTGCGCACTTATTAACGTACAGTTGGCGACAAAATACTTTGGTCATCAATGTCACTTGAGTGACATTAAATTGTAAAGCATGCTTTAGGACTGTTGGTTAACCTTATTTTTAGGTACTGTCAATCATAGTTGACAAGTTGTACATATTTTTGATAGGAAAATATAATAGGTGTCATTAATTTGAAATTGTCATTCATTTTAACGTTAAAGCTTGAATTACATTAAAGTGTCAGAAAAGTGACGACCAAAGTATTTTGTCTCCAACTGTACTATTGACATCAAAAAAAATGAAATCACCACATAAATCAAGAACTCATTTTTTTTATTTTTAACTTTTGTAATCAAGTCTTTCCTGTCATTATGACATAGAGAAACGTCATCAAGTTAGTAGGGTTTCATGGGTTCTGATACATGTATACTTACTGGAAGACCAGATTGGTAAAAATTATTTTCAATTTTAAATTACGTGTCACAACGTGTGTGAAGTAGATTCAGAAAATCTTGCAGATTTGTTTAATTACTGAGGTAGAACAGTTGGTTTCTTCTCATTAAACGAGAACTACGGCACGCCTGTGAAATAATGACATAAAAAAAACCGGTTTACAAAATATAAAAATTGGTGTTTCCATTTTTGACGTCGATAGTTTCAAAAAAAACTCGAAAACTTTGATGTTTATAAAACGTCGAATTTAGGTTGTATTCTAAATGCTGGTGATAAATTGATCGATTTTTTGTAATTACAGAATTCGTTTAATTTGGGCGACCACGATACGTCACGCGGGTGTTATCGGCCTATGGGCCTCTCCAGTGAACGGCAAAAAGGCGGGGGGAAAGCCCGGGCCCCCAGCTATGCGCCACACGGGACTAGGAAAATTAGGGGGGCTCATCAACACAGCTGTACATGCCACCAAACGTGCCCCAACTCCAGGTGAGTTTTGTAACGTGAGAACAAGCTTTCGTTTATACAGAGTGTTTTATATCGGGTGTGCAGTCTCAAACTCGAACATAGGGAAATAATAGTGTTGCGATTTTTAAGTATTTTGCATATTTCTTTGATAATAAAATAAAAAGATATCTAGATATAATCAAGAATTTAATAGTTTTATTAGTGACTTTTGTATATTTTAAAGTTGTGTGAAACACCCTGTATTATCAAGAAAAAAGCTTGTGGAATTAATTCTTCCTTGGTTAGTAATTAAGATTTTGCGTGTTTCAATTAGTAATAGTAAACATAAAGCGCGAGTAAATTTAGTAAATTCAAATATTTGTTTCCATTATGAAGCTTACTTAACACTGAGTCATGATGGTGAGAGAGAATGGTGAAAACTTGAACAACTACTGTCGAAAAAATAAAACCGCTATTGTGATGATTCTTAAAAAGCAGATAAAAAATCCAAAATCAAGAGAAAATTTACTTTTTTCTATTTTGAGTTGAGAATAAGACTATTCCAGCATCCAAATGACGTCATTTGAGTTATTTGAGTGCTTTAATAAGTCGTTGGCGTTAATTTAATTTTAGTGACGGACTTTTTTCACTATTCATTTTCAAATGTGAAAATAAGAATTATTTTTATTTTTTACAGCCGCCTAAAATTATTTCACATAAATGTCGCCAACCGTCGCAAAATTCTCTAGAAAAAAAAAATTCGTCTTCTAATTTATAAAAGGACTAGCTGTTGCCCGCGGCTTCGCTCGCGTGGTAGTTTGACATCCACAACTACTTCAAAACGCAGAAGGGCTAAGAAACTTACTAACGAAATATAGCAACACATAATTTATTATGAACTTCGTAGTAAAAATAAAAAGTCCGTCTTTTATAACTTATTTAAAAACCGTAAAATTTTAAGTTTTATTTCATGGATAATACTTAATAATGACAAATTTTGATACAAATTTTCATTCCATGTTTAACTATAATACATATTTATACAAACTTTCATCCCTTATTTGACCCCCTTAGAGATAGAATGAATTCTCCAAAATCTTGAAACACGTGCTATTTTGTTTTTAACTGAACACCCAAACACCAATTTTCATAGATTTAACTTAAAAAAAACGGATATTTTAAGGATTTAACTTTATAAATGACATATTTTAATACAAATTGTCATCCCTGTTTAACCCCCTAGAGGGTGGAATTTTCAAAAATCCTAAAACACGTGTTTCTTCATTTTTAACCGAAAGCCCAAATTTCATAAATATAACTTCAAAAATGACGAATTTATAAATATTTATACAAATTTTCACCCCTTGTTTGACCTCTTTGGGGATGAAATTTTCCAAAATCCTAAAACACGTGTTTATTTGTTTTTAACTGAGAGTCCAAATACCAATTTTCATGAATTTAACTTTAAAAAAAATACAAATATTTTACCTTTTACCCTTGTTCAACCCCCTTGGGGGTGAAATTTCCAAAAATGGTAAAATACGTATTTTTTTATTTTTAACCGAAAGCCTAAATAGCAATTTTCATGGCTATAGCTTTAAAACTTTAAAAAGTTCGATGACGGCGCCGGCGCAGCGACTTTTGGCGGGATTTTGACGAAATTTTGTGGACAACTTTTAGTTTTATTCATGTTTTATTTAATCTGTCACCTAACGGTTTTTAAAAGTATTTTTTTTATTTAAAACAATAATACCAAAAGTTGAAATCTCCATTTTAGAAAGTAATATGTACATGGAAATATACCCTCCCACATAGTTTCTACAATGAGATACGGAGCAAAAACGCTTGAAAGTACTACTCACATTAACATTGACTTGTCAAATTGTCAAAAATGGAAAACTGATATTGTCAAAATATGTTCTCTCCATTTGAATAGTTTCAAAACGGACACCAGAGGTCAGCTACTTTGCTGATTTTCTCCTATAAAGCGGCAAAATAGAAAAAATAGTATAAAGCACTTGTTGCAGAAGGTTCTTCAAGCACTCATTTGTTCCTCAACTCCCACCTTCTGGAACTTGAACTTTAATATACTATTCTTTCCACTGAGACAAAATAATGACGTTTTAAAATTACAAATTGACTCGTTTCAGTATAATACACCGTATAAAACACACTTTACACGTTTAATTAAAATAATTATTATTAATGAAATAATATCCGAAGACAAGATTTACTTAAAAGAAATGTTGAGGCTAAATGCAAAAGCATTTTTATTACTTTTCCCTTGCAGATGGTTTATAACTGCGGTTAGGTAGGAGGATAATGAGGGTACGGTTTATGGACACGACATTTTCTACATTTCTGAGTGTACAGGGTGCTGCATTTTGGATGTCCGAATAGGGAATCTCCGAAACTAAGAGGTTTAGCCAAAAACGAGTGATACATTCTGGGGCTCATTTTTTGAGAAAATAATATTGGTGAAAACCGCATCTTGCTATCGTCTTTTGTTTTCGACTTACAGACAAAAGTTGACATTTTGGCGAAATCTAAAAAAATTCATAACTTCGTTATTATAGAAGATACGGATTTGAAATAAATACATTATACAGGCACTTTTTTATGTAGAATTTAATCATGTAGTTAACATTTTTTTTTTCAGTTATTGGTTTAGCCGTAATAAAATAAACTTGTATTTTCTAAATGGGAACCATAGATGGCTATGTCATTTTTAGAAAGCTTGTTTTTTTCTTATCTAAAAAATATACAGGGCGATTCAGATAAGATAATGAGCCTGACGATCTGGCGATGCAACCCAAAAAACAGATTTCATTTACGTTTTGATCTAATTTTAATTACGATTTGCATTTGCAATCCAAGTTATCTTATGTTGCTCTGATAGTGATTTGACATGCAATTTATGATTTTAAAAAAAACTGTTTGCCTACCTTTAATGTTTCATTGTTTCATACATTTTGTATTGGGTTTACACTGAAAAGACTTCTCTAATTTCTCTATCATTCCGCGAGAACTGAATGGCACTAATAATCGTTCTCTGCACTAATGTCAGAGTGACACCAAGATGATAACTTGGATTCAACTTGCAAATCCTAATTCAAATTGGATCAAAGGCGTAAATGAAATTTGTTTTTTGGGTTGCATCGCCAGATCGTCAGGCTCATTATCTTATCTGAATCGCCCTGTATATTTGTAACAAATTATTATAATACATTTTTAGCAAAAAATTATCTTTGATTTTTGTTCGCAGTTGGCCATGAAAAAATGTTGCATCTTCAACTAAAAAGATTTAAACTATATTATATTCAACCAGTGTCACTAATGAAAGAGTTTTTCTAAGTGCTAAGTGATGAAAAAGATTCAAAATAAATTGTAAATCAACTTATTGGCGACTAATAACATTTCTTTGTTTTTAAACAAGCTAACATTACCATTGTAACTTCTAGTGATACATAATAGAGCGTTGTAAAAAAAGCCACTTTAATTCTTCAATAAAATGTATTTTATATGACACAAAAATGACGATATGGCTATTCAAATACCCAAATTCCGTCTATGTAAAACGTTATCCTACCTCCATTAGATCATCAAAAAAATGTTTTTTTTAATTGTATTGACTGCTGACACATTTGTTTTTACTATTTTTGAATTTCTTAAAAATACGTAATAATTTTGTTCTTAGCCGCTCGCATATTTGTTCAATACTTATCTTATTCTAACTTATCGTATTTTTTAAATATTTATAATTTCATCTATTTTACAAAACTCTTATTGATTATTATTTACACATTTGGAGTGAAATAGTTTTTCCATGGCCAACTATTATCAGACAAAATATGTATTTCATTTTCTAAGTATAATTATAAAAAAAATATTTTGTTACAAGTATGCATTTTTAGATCATAAAAAAAAGCTTTTCAAAATTGCCATAGCCGCCTATGATTTCCATTTAAAAAAATACAAATTTATTTTATTACGGCTAAACCAATAACTCAAAAAAAATTGTTAACTACATTATTAAATTCCCTGTGAAAAAGTGCCTGCATAATGTCTTTATTTCACATCCGTATCTTCTATAATAACGAAGATATGATTTTTTTTAGATTTCGCCAAAATGTCAACTTTTGTCTGTAAATCGAAAACAAAAGACGATAGCAGGATGCGGTTTTAACCAATATTATTTCCTCAAAAAATGAGCCCCAGAATGTATCACTCGTTTTTGGCTAGTTTCTTAGTTTCGGAGATTCCCTATTCGGACATCCAAAATGCAGCATACATAGATTGAAAATTGCCAGATAAAAATTGAAGCAGCCTCGCAAATAATGAGAAGCAAAAGTAAAATCTGCATTTATCGACAACTTCAAGTATTAGTGATACAGCATTCAGGGCTAGAATGAAAATTAGCCTACTTACCTAATTGGATTTTTTTGACTAATTGGAGGTTAATAAAATTAAGTCAGCATTGTTGCAATTTATATTTACGTTGTTTTTCGGTACCTATCTGCTTTTTTTACCGGCCACTTGTTGCTAAATACCTAGTCCTGATATTAAATACCAAAACTGTTCACTTGTTCATTGTCCCTAAATGATAAATTTATGGTCAGATAAAAATAACTGTACTGCCCGTGCCACAGCCATCTCCTCACTGGCAACGTCGCAACTGCGTTTTTTGAGGTGAAATAGGTCGAAAACATTTGATTTCTGTGTAAAATAAGAATCCGTGTTACAACTAAACCCTAGTGACAAATTTTAAGCCATGAAGCTCCACTCTTTTATACAGAAGAATATTCTCATACAAAATTATTATTATCCGTAGGATATTAGGTATATGTATCGTATTTTTATTATTTCGGTTTATAAATAAATATTACATATTTTTAAATAAATTTAAAAATTTAAGTCGTTACATTTTTGTTACCACTGATCCGGAATTCTGCTTCTCATTTGAAAGTTTTACATCACTATCTTTCTCTTAATCCGACAACATATAGTGACATGGAAAAACAAGAATAGATACCGAAAACCCT